GTGTTTGGAAAGGCATGCCACTTCCGGTAGAGCTCGAACATAAAGCACTTTGGGCATTGCGGCAGTTGAATTTGGATATGGAGGCCGCAGGCACCAGCAAAATCATTGGGTTACATGAGCTCGAGGAATTCAGGTTCCAGGCATTTGAAAGTGCTAGACTATACAAGGAAAGGATGAAACTAATGTATGATAAGCACATCTTGGATCGTAACTTCAAACCCGGAGATCTAGTGTTGTTATGCAACTCGAGATTGAGATTGTTTCCGGGTAAGTTAAAGTCCCGATGGTCAGGACCCTTCAGAGTGGTGCAAATGTTCTTAAGTGGAGCTGTGGAGATTGAATCAGAAGATGGGACAAATAAGTTCACGGTGAATGGGCAAAGGCTAAAACAGTACCTTGGCATGGCCGAAGAAAAAGGGGATAGAGTGGTAATAACTTTGGAAGAACCCCAGTACTCGAATGAGGAGTGATGATCAAAGCCTGCGTCGTGCCGCGACGTTAAATCAGGCGCTGCGTGGGAGGCAACCCATGTTTTCTCTTGTTTCTCTTTTTGTTTTGATGTTGTACTTGATGTGTATGATACTAACCCTTTTATTAGTGTACAGGGCAAGATTGGTGCATATTGGGAGAAGTCGGGGTCAAGAACCAACTCCGGAAAGGTAAAAAATTTTGGAAGCCCGTATTCTATTTCTGGGCCACCGCGACCGCGGCCCGGGCGCGGTGAATCACGACTATTCTGTTTTGTTTTTCTTTTTTTTCACCGCGACCGGGGTCGGGATGCGGGCTGGGCGCGGTGAATTACGACTATTCTGCCCGCCCAGGTAAGTTCTAATTAATTTTGTTATTTTATTTTTATTTTTTTTCTCTTTCTTGTTTTTCTCTTCTAAACATAACCGCCCACCCCACTTCCCCCACTCCTCATTCTTACTCTAAATCCTTAACCCCACGCCCCTTCTTCTTCTTCCCATCTCTCACAAACCCATTTCTCTCCCACACACACACGCACACACACTTCCGACTCCTTCCTCGCCAACCTTCATTACACTCCAACTCTACAAGAACCAGGTATGTCATGATTTCCTTCTCTCTTCTTCTCCCCTTCTCTTTTGCAATTTTAATGTTTGAGTTTTTGTAGTATCTATAGTTAAATTTTTGGTTTTCTTTTCTTCTTTTTAGTGGGTGATGTGTAGAATATAGTAGAGAAGAGCATGGTGTTGTTGTGTGAAGTTGATTGTGGTGGGGTGGAGTTTGTGTAGTGATTATGGTTGATTTGGGGGGAGAGTTTGTACTTCCATGGGATCAGTGTGTTAAATCATAGTTCCATGAACACCAGGTGCTTGTGAAATTGCCCCAATTGAGCTGTAATGGCTAAAGTGACCATGGTGGTGGTGAAGTCTGAGTAACCACCCAGGGTTCACACAACTCAAACCCTCACTAATAGTAGCCTTTGTTTTGTCAGGTACAATGCATCAATCAAGGAAAAGTCGTGCCACAGGTTCCTCCGCTAGTGGACCAGGAGGTTCATCTAGAGCTCGAGCTCAGGCTAGTTCGAGCCAGTTTGATCGCACTCGGTTTGTCTCCAAAGCGACTCAAGATAGATTTAATGCAAAGACATCCAAGAAGCTGGTGCCTGAAGTACACATTGACAGGCATGCCTTGCGAGTTGAATGCCCAAGTATCTATGAAGAATTGAGGAGGCGTCAGCTGGACATCTTCTTTAATGAACCGGAAGAGGGCAATGTACTGATGGTAAGGTAATTTTATGCGAATTGCATGGACCATGTTGATAGGGTTGTCACGGTACGAAATACCCTGGTGGATGCATCTCTTGAGGCCATCCGCCGAGTGTACAGGTTGCCGGTTTTCACTGGAGAGACGGATTATTACCAAGATTATCAATGCCCACCTGTCTGGTGGCAACCAATTGTTAAAACAATCTGTGTGGCTGGCCGGGATCCAATATGGATAAAGCCGAGAATGACCCTGAACTCCCAATCTCTCACTTGGGAAGCTAAGTGTTGGCTAACAATCATCAACAGCCATTTTCTGTCATCCAGCAACACTACAGATGTTAATGGGCCAAGAGCAGCGGCGATTTATTATTTTGTAACCCACCACGATTTTGATGTGGCCCGGCTCATTCAGGATGAAATGTTCATTCGCTCCCCGAAAATACTCAAAGGGTTCTACTTCCCCTCCCTGGTCACCAATATGTGTCGTGCTTCACGAGTTCCTGAAAATCCCATAGTAGATGGGAAGTTGCCATTAAAAGCCCCATTCATGGCTAGCAAAATCACAGTTGGGAAAGAGCAGGCTGTGGCGGATGATGATGATGCCGGTGATAATGATGAGGGAGCTATGCATGCTGCCGCCCCACCGAGGCAGATTGCTAATGAGGCAGGCCCATCACGGGCCCGCCGGAGTACCCGGATGACAGCCTTGGAACATGAGATGGCTGGCCTACGCACTTCGGTCGATAACCTAAATGCTAGAGTTGAAACTTTGGCTACTCAAAGTGCTAGGTCAGAGAAAAAGATCATGGGCTGGCTCCGGGCGCTAGGACGAGCATGTCACCTCGATCCTGGCACCGTCTCCGATCAGGACTGAGCACCAGGGAAGTCCCCTTACCTTACTCTGCTTTAATTTCTTTGACATGGGGACATGCCAAATTTTTAAGTGTGGGATGGGGGAAGGTTGTTGTTTTACAATTGTAT